TGGAGGGAAAGTTAACCAGGTATGCCCTTCGCTTATCTCGGCGGCTGCTCTCGCTTGCTTGGAGGACCGTCTACTTCTTTCTCTCGACCTCCGACGCCTAAACTGCGTCCTATTTCCTTTTTCTTCCTTTGCCCTCCTGCCCTCCGCCGAGCGTTGATTGTGACCGAGCTTTTTGTGCGGCTTTGCCGGAGCTAACTCGGTCGTTTAGCGGTGTGGAAAAGGAAGGGAGCGGCTGACGGGTGCCGGGGGTTGACGTCGGAGGCAAAGGGAGCTTGGCTGAAGAGGACGGGGACGGGAGGTGCAACGATGCACGCCCGGAGTGGTGTCGAAACAAAAGCCGCCGTAGGTAATTTCACCACGCGTTGCGTGCGAGAGTGTGGGCAACGCGACGACGCGAACAGGTTGTCTTCGACAATAGAGAGGCATTTGACAATTCGCTTGAAAGCGAACGGAAGGTATTATCTGGGGGCCGCTCGAGAAGATTGCCGGCAAGCTCTTAAACTTGCGGTGCAACGATGAGAGTTGTGTGTTTCGTGTTTAAAACGCACGGCACATCTCCAGGCGTGTTCGATCCTTGATCGCACATAGCGAGTTAAAATTAATTCTTCATTCATAATCGTCACGATCGCATGTAATTAGAATAGTTTTATTTTAAGTGTAACTATAGTAATTGAATTGTAAGAAAATAACGACATCGTTCGGCGTGTTAAAAGAATTATTAAGAATTGTTAAATTTGAATGTTCGCAGACGAGATTAAATTAACTAAATTTTGAGAAACATGAGTTTGTTGCTCGCGCATTATTGCGCAAAGATCGTTTTTAAAAGCGAAAGGAAGACTTAGAAAACACGAACACCTGCGCTCATTTCACTAACAAGATAAAATAATAACAGTCGTGGACTCTAGAGCTTCTTTTGACATCTTCCTATGTACGTGCATGCTACATGCGTGCGTATGCATACATTAAATTGTTATAATAAAATGACAAAAAATATACGTTTAAGTTTATTGTAATTTTATGCAATTTTATGCAAATTAAATAAATTTATATTTTAAATTTCCAATAGAATGTTAAAAAATATTATTACTAAAAAATTCCTCGGACAATATCCTTGAATTTTGACTCTGTCTCTCGTTCGAATTTTCACGAGCACATCTTACTTTTCCTTATCTCTGGCTATGTTCCTTTGCAATTACATAGGCGTTTACTTCGGGCGCAGACGTTAATTCGAGTTGTTTCGTTGATATCCACCGATACGACCAAGCCTGATAACATTTTTGCGAGCAATTAGACCGTCTCGGAATGGCTCGTGATCTCGCTGCCTTAGCGTCCAAAATTCCGACGAACAATAAATGCAAAAAAAATTCCGTTACACCGAGCGCCCTGGAATTGGATAGTCGATGTGGCCGCAGTTTCCCGCGGAAAACTTCAAGTTTTCCACAATGCAGCGGTGGCAAGAGTGAAATATAGAAGTAATTTATCGGGATCAAGATGCTTTTCTTGAGTGCTTTTAAGTAAGTGAGTCTTGCAATCCGCTTTTAAAGTGTATATTACATTCGAATATTACGCGCGCCTCCGTATTGTGTCGCCTCGGGAAGTTTAACGGCTGTAGCGGAAGTAATTAGAGAACTCTTTTTCTCGTGAACCTAAACCCGGGTATCTCCTCATGAATTGTAAATGTAGCCAAGTTTTTTAATCTTAGTATCGCATCTGGAATTTCAGATTGTCTATTTACAATTCGGCTTTCGCCGCTATAGACGCCCCGACGAACGGGGAGTTTCGATCATCCCAAAAATAGAATATTGAAGGATTCACTCAGATTTATACAGTTTCTGTTTTTGTAAGTAAATCACGAATCAATTTTATTGCGCGCTACCCTTGTAGAATAAATTATTGTTGCATCTTCTTAAATGATAAATATTATGAATATTTATCAAAAGAAAAATTAATGAGTCTAGGAACGAGACAGCGATATAATTTTTAAAGCGATGTCAAACACTCGATGAATAAAAGATTCTTGTCTTTCATCCGTTCCGTCGCAGTGGTAGCGAAGTAGCGATATTTCCTGGCATATTTTTCGAACAGGACAAATATACATTTTCCAACGAAATGTAAACTTTATCCTTCCGGTCGTTCGGACAAAAGATCGCGCTTTTTCCTTCGACCCGTCGGAGCGTTCCCTCGGTTTTGTTATACATGCAAATAATATTTCGGTGTTACTGAAACGCCGGCCCTCCGAGAGAACGAGATTCGAGGGTGTGAAAAATAATAATAACCGCAAAGAACGGCTCAGAGCATAGCGCGAAAGTTCCCGGAATAGTGCCATCTTATTTGAATTATTAGTGGCGATTTCGAAGAAACGTTTTGTGCAAATGGCTTTCGCGTATTGTAAGCGAAACCTTTCCCTTTCACTCGTTGTAAATAAGTATCGCATATTTCGTTTGAAAACCGAAGAAAAGTCACCGTTTGTAGAGAGAGGCGAATACGTTTCAGTTCAGTGATGTGAACCGTCAACATGTTTGTGAAAATTCGTTTTGAAATCACACGTCTGGAAAATCGATTTGTTTATTCGGGTTTCAAGAACGGATTATTTGCATTGAAGCAATCATGCAGTAAAGTACAAACTCAAAAAAAAAGATCTGCGTTTTAATCGCACACGAACTATTTCGTACCACACGAAATATTATTTATTAAAAGAGAAAATATTATACGTCTCCGATATGTTAAAGCATTTTGTTCAGGGAGCCATAAAATCATTATTTCTGTAGATGATATTTTAATATGACTTATATTACACTTAAATAAAGAGTGTACTTGTTTCTGCGTCTTGAATGGAAGTACGCAAAAATTTCACAAACAGATACAAAAATCCCTTAAGAGAGCGAAAGTAACAACTGCAGGTTTGAAAACAGCAGCTGTTACCAATGTAGATTAAGAACTCCAAAGACTTGAAGGATTACAATTAAATTAGTAAGAAAAAAAAAGATTAATATGTAAAAACAAATGCTCTCTCGAATTGCGGAAGTTTGATTAAATATCGCCGTGCGATTTCTCCGCGGAGTACGCACGGTGCTTCATCGGCACGCCATTCGACGCACTCACGTCTGCACGCATATGCGTGATACGAAACACGATTATGGACGGCCGTCGTCGCGACGCGGTAACGGTGGAGTTTCGCGAAGTCGTCGACATCGTCGTCGTCGTCGTCGCGACAACATTCTGATCTGCATCTAAATTGGAAAAAAGCGTCACGCGTCGTGAACTCGTTGCAGACCCGGCCGCACATTTTTTTTATGCATACCGGATATGTGATAATTCTGTTACACATCATCAGGCGAAAGGGCACAGAGTTTCCTCCGAGTTTCCTCTTTCGCATATAGATTCATTATTCCAATATTATATATGACAAAATTTTGTTTTATCATTTTCTCTCTGCTACGTAATGAATAATTATCTAAAAAGTAGACGACAGAGGAATCCTTCAATTTTTGTTTCATATATATGTCACTGGTACATTTCTGATTGTAGCGAATAATATTTCGTAAATTAATGCAATATAACTTGTTAATGAGGAGGATTGTCTGAGCGGACAATGTGTATATGCGTTAGCTACACGTGTGTCCCGTTGAAATTTGTAACTATGCAATTAGGATAGAACGTTATGCAATTTAAATGCAAATATCATTTCTTTCGCCATATGCGTTACGAGAAAATCATATGTCATAATTTAATACAACCGTCGAATTGACTAAAGAAATATTGCGCACAAAGTCAAACGCTGAATTTCCATTTCCCGATATCGCAATATTTGAGCATTTTACGTAGATTTTGCGATAGCGCGTGGATACACGCGCGCGTTTTTTTTTTACTAACATGTACATATATATATATTTAGATCAGAGCTGGTAATAAAAGTAAAATAATTTTAAAACGAGGTTTATTGCTATTTTTACGTTATCAACGGTTCATTTCATCCTCAATTGCTGTTACAAGCTTACGATGTATGAAGGAAGAGAAAGACTTCCACTTGATATTTTTCGACAATTTTATCGTTGCTTTGAAAAAAAGCAATGCTTGTTACTTTGGCAACAATGTGGCAGTTGTCACCTGTGTGGCATTACCCGCGGTGTGGCAACGCATACGTTGTTTCGAATAGCTTTTAGCCGATTTTATCGCTCCATAAAGCATTCGGTGATGTCGACGTACAAGTATCGAAGCTGTAGGTGCAGTAACGTATATGCGACGTGACGATAAATTGTTTTACATCTTTCATTGAGATCTTGCCAATCTTTCAAAGCCGCAATGTAGCTTGCCACCTCGTGCAAAATTATGGCCGATAAAACATTATTGCGAAATGAAAGTGTAGTATAAACTTATTATGTTTTGCGAATATAATATGGAAACTAATCATAAAATCTTGCCGTAAACTCCAATGTTCCGGTGAGGTTTCGAATCTTCTTTTCTTTACGAATGTGAGACGTATTTCCTGCATTACGAGATGCGAAATTGCCATGTACGCAAACAAATTGAAGAAGTACACGGAGAGAATTTTCTCTTAAAATTTATCCAGAAAATCATGTAATCGTGGGACAACACGGCATTTTGAAGAACTTTATGAAAGTTTTTTTTTTAAATTTTACTATACACTTTACCAGCAAAATGTATGGTAGAATCACATGATTACATGATTTTCAGAGTAAATTTTAAAAGAAACTTCTCTCCGTGTATTAAACTACAAAATATATGTTTAACAAATCCTCGCGTATCGAGCATCTTACAAACCTAAGTCTTATAAAATCGAGACTCAAGAGTATTGTATTATCTTTTCGAACATAACAGTGTATACTGACAATGAGATACTGTCATATAAGTGCACGAGATGGTAAGCTACATTGCGCCTTTGAAAGATTGGCAGGAGACTGGCGAGCATTGTATTATCTTTCCGAATGTGTGTAGTGCGCACGTTTCTACGAACAGAAACAGGAAGAATGTGTGCTTACCTGGATGATCCTCGATTTATTGAGGATTGTGTTACCCGACGGCTGATAGCGTTCCATGTCCCTCAGGATACTACGTACGCCGACGTCATCCGCGTCGACCAAACGAAAGGCAGTGATATTGACAAAATTGTACTTGAAGTCCTCGAGGTCGAAGGTTTCGATATCCTGTGGAAAGCGAGCGAATCGAGTCGCGGACCAAGTGGGTCTTCTGTGCGTTTCAATATCCCTAGGGTACTTACGAAAGTCGTGAAGAGGTAGTGGTACTTGTAATCATTCATCTGCAGCTGCAGGATCTGCAATATATGCGAGACGATACGGTCAGTAGAGGCCCCTTCCGCGAAATGGAATATATACTTAAAGAATAAGTCGGTGATCTTAAAATCAGAGCACGTCCAATTTACTTATCGTGCAAGTTCAGAGTTACTTTTACTTCTTAAATGGTTTTTCTGCATATAAATTTATGGAACTAATCCTTTTTCAACGAAAATCTATTCGAGCGCAATACCTTTCCGTAATTTCTTAATATTCAGTCTCGCATATTTTACTGGTGAGAATTTTCTTCTAAATCGACAATAATTGTAAAATATTTGTAACTTTTGTGCAGTATAATTTGTAAATTGTGAGAGGGATGCGCATGTATAGGACGATTTACCATTCGTAGAAAATGATGCATGTGCTCGGGTTTTGTGTCCACGATGATATTTTGAATTTCCTTGCTCTTTATTTCGGAGAGGACCTGCCTGTACGAGTCGGGGTCTGCTTGCCGGAGATTGATCTCGATATCACGGATTTTCGGTGATCTCACCAGCTCCCGAAGCTTCACCAATCCTGAAAATCGAGGTAGACACTTGCCTCAATTATATATGCGTACCAACGTATACGAAATGCAAAGGGTTCATTCCCGAAGGGAATCGAAGACACGAAGATACGATCGCGCGTTCTCGAGGATACGATTGTCGATGTCAACGCGAGCGAATCGTTTGTCTCGCGATCTCCGCAGGAATTATCATGTCGGTCGCTTAATGGCACGGAAACCCGTGAATCGCGCTATCCGACGAAATCAATACTCTCCAGTGCCTAAGTAATCAAGGTATCTGACTTGCAGGTCTTCCGGGGAGACACAGGCTCTGTTCTCTTGCAAGTTACCGGCGGGAACTTTGGCTCTTGAGATTCCGACGCGTGCCGGAGACGGGCGGCAACGTTTCGGCCTGTCAGTTTCCTTCGGGCACGGAGTGCCGAAGTCGGGATAATCTTTCACGGATAAACTCCACCCATGCAAACGATCTGCTGATTGATGCGTTCGAGTTTGCTTGAGAGCGTTGACATCTAAATATGTACCTATACCGATCGTATCATGTCCAAGAATTCGCGTATATTAGGCGATGCGATTTTATTTTCGTTCGCTTAAAGGTTTTTCTGGCGACGTAAAAAATAAGATCACACATCATCTATCAGTTTCACTTGTGCCATCGAGTCGAATGTTTAGCGTCGATCATTAATTTGATTTGAGATAATAAACGTTCCATGTGTGTCAATGCAGTTGCACTTTGTAAAAGACATGGTGACGCGTTTCTTGAAAAGTAGAAACTCGATGTCGCGCAAACCGCTCTTTAAGAAGAGAAACGAAGAGGAAAAAGAAAAGTGGATTTTATCGTACACGACTCTACGCCCAAGTGTTGGTAATAATTAATCCAGGAGCGAGTAAGAAACCGAGTTTAATTGAAGCCGTGTCAAGCGGTAACTCGAGTAAGACGAATGTTCTCATGTAAGCAGATTTTGTATCCCGAGGGACAGCATCCGACGACTATCTTGGGGAACACTATGAATAACGGCTGCAATAGCTCCAAGTTTCGAGCGCGCATATTTCGTCGGTACACCAATACCGTGACAACCGAGTGTAGCACCTTCGTGGTATAATATCAATTCGCGCACGAAGAAAACAATATGTGACAAGAGGATTATTTCCGCGTAATAGCGTAACACAAATCCGACACGTGTGGCGATCTACTTTGCATACATTAAACACTTATCGCGAAATCTCCTCAATGTACTTAATTATCGTCCTTTCCAATTTGATAGCAAATCATTGCGGGTCGATAAGAAAATTCGCAAACAAAATTCCTGCACAATTATTAAAAGAGAATAACTGTAAATTAGAAACACTTTGCGCGGCTCGATTGTGAAAGGTAGTTTAAAGAGGTAATTAAATTGTTGGGTGTTACAGCTTGAATTGAAAATAATAACTGGAATATTCCTCACGGTTTGTGGTGCGACTCGTTGCGGCGCAAATTATGAACACTTTGCGTATACCAAGAACGAACTTTCATAAGAGTCGTTTGAAACGGCGGTTTTAATTAAAATAGCATTTCGAGCGTTTTACTGCTCTTCGCAATTTCGCGAGCGATATGCGAAATAGATAGATAGACAGATAGATATGATAAATACATAGATAGATAGACAGAAAGAGAGGAAGAAGCCGACACCTTTTATTAAAATTGACATGGCGAGAAGCCATAAAGTGTAATGCATTATTGCGAATTGCGTTTCAAGGTGTTACAACAGGATAGTCCGTGAAACATTCATCAAAGTGGAAGAACAGAGGATCGTTTACGATTCTACGAGAGAACTGCACCATTTACAGATTAGTAACTAGGGAATTGGCATTGTCCGACTTAACGTACGTTGTATTTAAGGGGCACCAAGGAAGATCGCGTTTCTAGGGAGCGAGGCACGACGTGCGGAAATGAGCGCAATGCGACGCAATTTCTCACTGTGATCCACGTTGCGGTTTTGAGCTTAGCAGCACGGTATTATCCTGGCTTTCGACGGCGAGCATTGAGAATTACATGTTTTACATGCTTACAGTACCGGCTAAAATTATATCACCTTTCGATGTTTTTCGAATAAAAAATGGGAAAATTATGATGCACTTTGTCAAATTTCATTACCCCTTACGTATTTACTGTAAAATTTTGAGCGCATTCGATGCACTTTGACGAAAATTGTGCTCAGAAAACCTAAAAGTGATATAGCCTTGGCCGGTACCGTAAATACCTCTACCTTAAAATTCATATAAGGACCAGAATTCATAATCTATATAATTTTTTTGTATTTGAGTGAAAACGATAATAAAACTCGTTAATAAAAGTGAGTAAAAACAGAGACGCCACAACCCCTAGAAAAGTACAGGGAACCACTAGAGAGCTAACAATAAATATCGTCGACGTCGCATAAATCTTGAGAGAGACCGAGATAATTGGTTGCATCACTTGTAGGGTTCTGCGAGGCGCGGGACAAGAAAAAAGAATTCGAGTCAAGCCAAACGCTACTGCGGCTACTTGACGATGACAATAATTTCTTCGGGGAATCGGAGAACTGCGCGGGAGCGTTCTATCGCGAATGGAAGACAGATTATCATATTGGCTTTTATACACTCTAATGACGACCACTTGCGATACGTGTTCGAAATGTCGATATGCCTCGACAGAAATACTGCGCTGAGTTCGCAGCGCGAAAGAAAGCTGTCAACGATTACTTGCCTCTTCCTTTTTCGCTCCTCGCCTCGAGTGGATCGCGCGGTGACAGACGATCGAAATAATTGGATCGCCCGGCTGTCTTAAACATGCGCATTTCAAGAGGACGGTCGAATGAATATTGGAGAGGTGAGCGAGCCGCGGCAGCTGAGAGATTCGATTTGGAAGTACTTTAAGAAATAGCGCTTTAGAATATAAATGCGTTTTTGGCTATGTAAAAAGGATACTTGATGACGCTTTTAATAATATTCCAAGAAAGCGGAAGGGACAACTTTTCTTGCGGAGTCGCAATTATATTCCAACAAAGAACGTAGGAAATGTAGCGATTGCTTTTGTGAACAAGTTTCTTGCAAAAAGTCGCAGTTAATTTTTCCAAATTTATTACGGTCATATATATGATATTCTAAAGGAGCAATTTCAAGGTTTTTTTAAATAAAAACTTCATAACGGACAAAAGAAAAAAGACCAATATACTACAGTAGACAGAATGAATTGAATACTTCAATCCTTTAGCTATATACACTCAAATTGATAGCAAAGAGTGTGTTTTTCTTTAAATATTTAATGCTAATTTAAATTCGGTAATTGTGTTCTTTTCGAAAAGCAACAATAGAGAAACTGGGTTAAAACCTGGGGAAAAAAGTGGAATATATATTCGCGTTTATTCCCTCGAGGCAATTACATAACTTGGTTCATTTTAGCGTATTGTTGAGAATGTTTGGGCGGCAAACATCGAGGCGCACAATGTACAATCAAATATGATCCTTTAATGAAATGTTCTTTAAAACAATTAATTAAAAGAACATACAAATTCGAGTGTATCGGTTATTCGAAAATGGAAGTACGCAAGTTTTAAATGTGAACGAATTATTTAGATAACATATCTTCTTTTTTGCATTCATAACTTGTCACCCTTTTTAACTGTATGGAATCTCTCAATGAATTAAAATGGGATGTAACGACGCATTTGCTTTAAGGCGCGTATAATTACATTTGTCTTCGTTAGTTGATTAGCTAACACTAGTTGATGACAAATGTTCTTGAGAACGACGTTACGTGTACGAGGTGGACTTTCATTAACTGCGCCGTGGATCGTGAAGGGATTTGTTTTTGGAAGATTTGCTCGTCCCATCGGGATCGGTCAGTCGCTCGTGCGGAAAGACGACATATCGTGGAACTTCGACGATCGCCGAGCTATTCGAAAAGTTCGCGAAGACTTTCGCTGCGTCTGGGAACAAATTCCCACCCTTGCGTCCCGCTCCGTCATGATTTAGCTATCGTGTAAAACATACGCGCTCGACTGGACACTTACATGGGGCCGGGTCGGTCGTAAAATTGTCATTATGACAGAGAGAAATCCTTGCCCGCATACGCAAGGATGCGCCATGCGGTGGGGCCCGAAAGCAGCGACCGCGTGTAATTTTCACGAATACACTGCTCACGCTTGCGTATTCTTTCAACTTCCGCGTAATTGCCGAATTATTATTACGCTTAGATTCAGTGAAGAATATCCGTGTGCAGCGACAAAACCATTTAGAACACGTGGCTGCGAAATTAGAGAGGAGCGAGCCTGTTTGGCGAAATTTGAAAATACGTGAGAGAAATTATCGATCTCTCAATAATATGAGATACGTGAGGAAAATGACTGGTAGCGATAGTCACTCGGCGAGATTATTTAGAATACGTGACTGAAATGATCGACGGTCGATTACGTTTAAGATATGCGGGTCACAGATTACGTTCTCTTCGAAATTTATAATGCGCGATAAATATGCGTATATAGCGTGCTGTATTTATTTCAGAATGTTGTACTAATCTGTGGAATGGTGTCGACGACGTCGCGTCTCATATGCAACTTTGTATAAATGAAGCTAAATGTCGTGGCAACTTTGCATAAAGATAATAATGTTTGGCAGAGAAACACTTTATATCCGCTTGATCCTTTTTTATATCTTTAAAGACAAAAAGTAGATCGCGATTTGCCATTCAATATGGATATTCGAAAGGAAAGCTAAGCACAGGGTGCCCGAAGCTTTCCGTCTTATAGGTCTTGCAGACCCTCAGAATGCTGTTGGGCTGTCACTTTCAGGGGTTATAAAAATACAAGGCCGCATCACCTGGTTTTGACGGATCTCACGTAAAAAGGATTTGACGTTTCATGCTTGAACTAGCGAACTTTACGAGGCGAGCGTACCACGGAATAAGAAGAAAACATCTAGGCGGAATATCGCGGATAATATGTCGAAAATAAGAAATATACGTATGCACGTGTATTAAAATAAAAATCGTCTGCCT